ATCATAGTCATTTTAGATATTGATTCGATCATCTGTGGATATGTGTTTGGCGTATAATAAACACTTCATCACTAGTATTACCTTTCTTCCTTTAAATAAAGCAATATCAGCGATAAATTCATTCACAAGCATAGTAAGCAGAGATGGATAGTGGCTAGCTTACCATGCTTGCGAATTAAGGCTATATCGAGGCAATACGCACAGTATGCACATATGCCAATTAGAGACTGACCAGTTGCAGTCCTAACACATCGATGGGAAGATTCAAACAAACAATACTAAGTGAATTTAAAATTCACCCCATCGCACAAGCAAGTGGCTATCAGGACTCAGTGGCCGAGTGGATAACGCGATGGCGTTTGAAGCGAGGGTAGTGGGTTCGAGTCCCAGAGTGGACATCAACTCTGAGATGCAGGTACGTCCAGCTGACGAGTCCCAAATAGGACGAAACGCGCGCCCTGGATTCCACTGCTAGCCACTATCCAATATCAGTGATAGTTCTGTCATGCAGTAACAAGTAAACAATCGTGTCTATAGTTCAGAACACGTAACAAAACCAGTATTCCGTCAAATCATTACAATTACTAGATGTTGAACGTTTCTTCAGCCATCGATTATTTGTTCAACAAACAGATATTAACAAAGTATCAAGATCATTAAGTGATACAAAAATATTATCTTATCCACACAGTGTTGTTTGAACGAGTTTTATTGAATCCCCTGTGTTATACTACACATACCGACAATATTGATCAAACTGGAATCCTTTCTGCACATATGTCTAATTAAATTTAAAATCTTATCAATGTCTACCGTGAACATGTACTGTTCTAATTATAGTTTCATGTGTTTAGACCAGTATTCAAATTCTTTTGTATGGGTTTGTATTTTCACGTTGTTGATGTTGATCTGTCTCACAATTAGCATATCCAAATAAAGGTTAGGTAATTGCAGTCCTTAACATTGTAGTGGCCGGTACTATGTTAAGCTCACATAGGATATTCTAGCTTCTGGAGAGACCAATTTATTCATTCTACTCAAACTAGACCTTGTCACTTATTCGCTTATTAACCTGACTATTTCTAAATGATCGTGTGTGCCTGCATTGCTTCTCATATTCATCACATGTTTGTAAATTATTTTTGTCTGAATATAAGTATCGATTAACGCTTGATTAAAGTGAGTTGGCTCAATTGCCTTCCCCACTGCTCGTCACTTCGTTTTGCTTCGCTCTTCCCTCTTCATTTATCTGATCGTCTGTCTGGATAAACGAATTACTGAAAATGATTCCTACAACACCGCCTGTATTTGACTTCTTACTAATACCTTCATACAAATGGGGTTAGTCTAGGTAATATACGGAGTTAACTGAAAGATTTATATTCATACGTTCACCCAAATTGGAGTCAAATCAGTCGACACCATAACATTAGAAAAATAAAGCCTTATAAACAAATTCATACATATTGAACAAGTTGGTGATCAAACAGATCAATTAGTCTAAAGGATAATATATTGGTGTGTGTAGCAATAGACACCGAATTCGGGTTTCCGTTTTTCTTTATAACAAAAATACTTTTACAAAACATTTTGTTAAAGTATTGATAGAATGAGTTACGAACACAAAACCAACTATATATTTTTAAACCAATAAATATAAAGTTATGAAAAATAGCAATCAGATAGGTATACGTTTTCTGTCCCAATAATAAGCATCTGTTATTGTAGATTAACAAAGTTTATATTAGTTCGACCTTAGATTCTTCACTTACTGTTATTTACAAGAGCTAGACAATTAATACCAAGAAATCTACACAGAAATATTCTTCATATTGTAGAAATTTTAAGCTTAAAGTAAGGATCACCTATACGAACTACTTTTCGTCAGATAAACTCTCTTTATAGTAAAGCCTGCCTAGTTTTTTTCACTCCTACTGAATAATATTTGCAATGATTCTAGTTATTATCATCATGAAAGATTTTTGACCAGTGTTTTCTTGATCCTCATTTGTTTCATAGATGGATATTTTAATTTATAGGTTAATTACACATTTAAAATTGATTATATTCACCCTAACGGTAAAATATTTTGTAGTTGTTTGCCGGATATTACGCAATCGATTTTCCCGTTAGAACCTACTATATTGATATTTTCAGTAAAGGTATAAATGTTTCCTAGACAATTCGTTTATTTCTATAATGTAATGAGATGAAGTTGATTTGAAAATTATGGTGTATTTTGAGCCATACTTTTCAAACAGTCTGGTCTATAGTTGAACCAATGTCAGAAGACGACTACCCAATAACTTAGTTGTAACCTCTAAAAATTACACTTATATATAAAATATTGAGGAAAAAATAGACATGATTGAAGGGTATGGCCATAGTAGATAAATCACTCTCCAATATTATTAATGTTTAACTATGAATCGTAATTATCGTAATTAGTCACTGACATGATAAATGACACTCTTGGATAAAAGTGCGCATCACTATGTGTAATGGTTGAGTATTTACGAAAATGTTTGCTTTCACAATGAAATCATTCAAATGTAATCTCACGAATGGATTCAACTTACAGCAATAACCTCAAAGTTAAGCACTCAGGGTTACTTACTTATCAAGGATTTCAAAAATTAGCTTCACGAAGGAAAAGTTACTCAGGTTCAATTAACTTTTTTCATTCAGCCTATTAAAACCTGGAAGTTTCTTATTCATCTAGTAGACTCCAATTAAGTGTTTCGAAATACATTCGACTTGATATTTTTTAAAAGAATCAGTCATATATTTAGTAGATATAATATTTCATATCTCTACAAAGTATTCAATCTAACATATACTTGGAGCTCTAGGTGGGTTTTTCGAAGTGTTTTGCTGATTAATTACTGATATCTCACTTAGATTTCTTTATGAATGACAAAAGAATACACCAAACGACTATCACTAAGAAAAAAAGATGTCCTTTACTTTTTCCCTGGGTGCATATAATTATAATGTTTACTTACCGACTATTTCATTTCTATAGCCTACATATTCGTTGACTTTATAACTTACCAATGACTCAGTGAACGAAGACTGAGACCTTAGTATCTATTCGTCCTCGAGCTCTTCCCAACCTAGTGTTCAGTCACGATGCGAAGCTAGGAAGCAGATATATTTACTTCTGTGCAGCAGTCCAGTTCCATAACTCGACTTATCAAATAATATAGGGTAATTTTCCGGTTACATATTAACATGATTAAAAATTACATTGTATGCAGGACAAAGCCATAGCTGAGAGAGAACTAAGTAAAGGTATGTAATTAATTAACGATAACTCAAGAAAGGTAAAACACACAACAGTAGTTTATATGCCGTTTCCAAATCACTAAATGTACAAATGGCATTCAAGTAAAAAATAAGCTAGAAGAGAGCTCCCGATAGAAGCCCCGTAGATATTCAAAATCAGGTATCCACAACAACTTGATTGAAACATAAAATGACGGCCAAAAATGAATGGTAAGGACTGACCCCTATCTATTGAAACCGACCTAATGATTAAGTCTTTCTATATTCTAAGATTTATCTATCAAATCATTAACTCATATCAGGTACAAAAGCGTGTACTTGGCTTTGAGTTACACTCCAAGTGTGAAGGTTAATGATACTAGCCATCTGACCAAATCAAATTAGGTGGCACAGTTCAGATCAGATACTTAGTGAGTCCGGCGATTTGATCGCTGAGCCAGCACGATGTGAGTGACTAAAGCAAAGAAACGTAAATAGGAACAACAATTGGCCATATGGACTACAATTGGGAAACAATAATTATTCTACTGGTTAGAGAGGATCCTCGGTTGCAAAATTTAATGAGTCATTCTTAATATTAAAAAATTACAACTTTTGCCCACCGTGAACAATATTATGACTAGGTTATTGGGTTTTGAATTATACTGTTTTCTACCCAGTAGGTCGTTTACCACAGTCAAAAACATTGATTAATTCAGTGGCTAACCAGATACCCAACAACCACACCGAACCAGGCATCTTAAATTATTGACGATATCCCCATGATACTCAGTTGGAGAACTTCCTAATCACGTCCTTCCTGTTACATGACTACTGTCTTTCAGAGTTAATTTTCTTCACACGCACATACCAATTTGCTCTGAAATGACACTAACTTATGGTCTGAGATTTTTCTTAGCGCTTACATACAAAACACTATCAACCACATCTGGTCACACTGAGGAGAGTATTCCTTTGGCAGAGAATAGTTAGTAGGACTTGTTCAACTTAGTTGAGCCCAGATATACATTTTGAGGTGATTTTCAGTAAATTTACTAGGTTTTGGTTAACAATAATAACCAATGGTGGTTATATATTCGTACGAAATGTTTGGAAATGTATTTAAGAATGTGAGTCATTGTCTATCATGAAGTAAGATGATATTGAAACTAGTAGTGTACATAAGAGATGACATAATAATACCACGAAGGCTACAATCTATGAAGTTACCATCTATTGATAAAGACCATATTGATTAACAGAATGAAAAACAGGAAATTGTCATAACTAATTTCCTCATTCGATATTTTATCGTAAACGTTTATCTAAAGCAGAAAAGTTTACTCCTAATATTCGTAACTGAACGACATGAGTTCAAACTACACAGGTAGAATGAACTTTATCGACGCTTTATGTAGACCTACCTTATTAACGTTTGAAAATAGGAACACATTAGGGATTAGTTTTCCACAATGAACACATATTATAGTGCATTTGCACTCTTTTAACAGATTTCCAATAAAGTAAATATAAACACATAGGGCACTAACATGGAAAGAGAACATTAATCATCTGGTTCTACTCAAATTATATTTCTCTTTTTAATTGATGAATTCACAAAAGATGTGGAAAAAAAAAACACAATAACAACAGTACAAATAAGTATTAGTTTCCACCACGCTTAAATCAGACGTGATTTACAACAATCAACAGTAAAGTCCTTTTTTATAATTTTATGCACGTTTTGAAAAACCAGGGCGTACAGGCATAACATAATTAGCCGCGGCTTGATATTGTAGTTGATAAGCCAAAGGATGTATTTTAAAGCCGAACAGTCTGTTAAAAAAGAAATGGATAAAAAACAACAGTGCACTGAAATATGTTTAATGTTTGACAAAGCTTATATGAATTTTATAAACTCCCAATATCACAAAATAGTTGGCTGTACTATTTGAGGTTGTTGTGAATTAGTTACTGTTTTATATACTAAATTAATAAACCATAGGTCACTCGTTAAAACTATCTTACCGATTTTAAATTTGAATACTAAGTATTGTTGACCTGATAACCTTCCTAATAATTCAACCCCATTGGGGAGTTAGTATGTTGAGGTGAACTGCACTGTAGAAAAATTACGTGCTACTCTGGCGTTGTAACATAATTTACTTATTTAAGTGATGAAATATTTATTTCCAGTCATGATTTATAGGTGAATTATATTTTCTGAACTCAGCTACAATAATTTGCTGGTCTTTCATAGAGTTTATCAGTTTGAAAACCGACTTCATTTGGAGTCAATGAAATGTAGAAACCGAAAAAGCTATGTTGTTTTAACTCGGTACAGTTTGTGTGCTTGTACTATCGATCCCACATAGAACTCAAATAAAAATATACAGTATTTGTGTGCGTTAGCAGAAAATAGATTGGATTAAAGTACGTTCTGTGCAGGATTGTGCTGGTGCAGGCTAGTTGGCTATTTATCCAATCAGCGCTAATAGATACTTGAAGACTCTAGAATCTTCTCACGGAAAAACTATAAATATACTGACGTTTTTCTTATTTTGATTCCTACTTCCATCTACCCCTGTTATTTGGAATAAAATTCCAATATATACAATACATATATTTCAATATATGCATCGGTTCAAATTGACATACCTCATTAGCACAAGACGAACACCAAATTCATAGTTGTTAATTTAATGGTGGTAACATATAAAAGAATGATTTTATATAAGGATATAGTACAGGAAGAAAGACATATATGAAGCAATTGTAATCTCATAGTTTAAGGGAAGACAAAGAGTGCATACACCTGCGCCATTGTGATCGATTCTGAGCCATGACACACAGAGTCTCCAACCATTGGTTACGATAGTCATGAGTGTTGTATCCCGAAGAGAATTGTGAATAGTAACTTTTGAGGACTATTTGTGGACCAATGTAATATGTATATTTCCTATTGTAAAATTGTTAGGTAACTAACCTAATCATATTCATGTTCCTCTTATCATTAGCTTTATTTTGATCTTTGAACTATTATTGTACGATTCTTGAGTTATCATCAGTTTATTGAATAATTCCCCCCTATTCACAGCCACATTTGGCTAAATATTGTACAAATGTTATTTTCTATTTTATGGTACGATGTCGTCTGTTTGGTTGGTATATAAACCCAGTATGTTCGTGAATAGTGATTCATACCACTGAGGCTGTTATTGGTGTTTTGGACTTAACTGGCTGGGCTAGGCAGAAGCAGGACCGGTTAGCGCTCTAGACTGCTCGTACGGTTTCATGTCACTGTTCCAATCGACAATTCGCTGCTCGCTGATTGGCGATCTCATCAAGTCACACATTAACTAGGCATCCACTCGGCCACAAGATATAACAGTTATCATTGTTGAAAGCGTGAGTCAATTGAAGCTAGACCACCATGGAAAACCTGGAAACACTGGACGGCCGTTTCGTCCTATTATGGGACTCCTCAGCAGTGTGCATCCACGAAACTGCTCTCGCGAGCGGGATTCGAACCCAGGACCTACCAGTCTCGAGCCGAAGCCCTTAACAGATAGACCACTGAGCTGGCATCCAACGGTGTTAATGTCTAACTTCAACTGATCCACGAAGTTGAGCAACCATTCACCAATTGTCTTCAGTGAGTTCCTATCTCACAACAGACGTGGTAATTAATATAACAGTTAGTCAAACTAATCCCTCTATGTTTATCATAGGATGGTTATAATCCTTTGTCGTATATTGGGACGATCAGTAATTGCGACCAGTCAGATAGGATTACATCTACTTCTCAGATTTTAGCTAAAATATTAGTCAACCTGATCGCTAAAACTTGACCACCATATTTTAAGACGTCTAGAGCCAATCCGTCTGGACCAGCTGCTCATCCTCGTTTCAGACTAGCTATAGCCTTATGCACTTCAGATAGAGTAGGGGTACCTACTTCAATGTTCCATTTAGACTGTTTTAGAATGGTGGGTAACTATAGAGTAACTGAAGGCCAGCCAAACTGTTTCCCAAAGTGTTCCGCTCATCGTTCAAAACGTCTGGGTTGAGAGCAGATGAGAGTCTCATCTGTTTTCGAGATTGTCTCGTTTATGATTGACTTCATAATATATATATATATATATATATATATATATATATATATATATATAGAGGCACAGACAGTTTAGTATGACTCAATGAATGTTTCAGAATACTAAACACGAGAGTTTAGTAAAATCAGCGATAAACTCCATTATATATCTGAGGGAATTCGTAACCCGAATGAGTGGGAAACTTCTGGAAAGAGTCAATTTTATTACACAAATGCATTTTCAGCAAGCGTTAGTCAACAAAAAGCTGGCAACTCACCTATCAGCTACAGATCCGTGTACTTGACTTCAAGTGACACTTTAGGCGTGAGGCCTAGTGATACTACTCGGTCGCTCGAAGCGAATAAGGTTGAGTGAAGCTCAAACTTGCAACTCAGTGAGTGGAAATAGGTGTTGGATTACCAAGTTGCATTACCTTACTTTTCCCAAGGTAATTAATATACAATCTGTATAGCGTATCAAAATACGTATAAACACTTCTCATAACGAAACATACCTTGCAGTAAACTGTTTACTAGCTCGTTTTGGTCTGTACTCTGGATGAACTAAAAACAGCATATGCGGAAAGCCAGTACCGAAATACGCTCCATCTGTATGATGATGACGAGTAGATTTCGGAGTATAGGTATCTTGACATCTAGGACAATATATCTTAACCATAGCTTCACCAGGAACATCTGATAAACCGACTGGCAAACATGGCTGGCTTTCACAGTATACCTTTGATAGTAAAAGCATTAGAAAAAAGAATTTCAATACCTTTGCATTTAGATACATTAAAGTAAACTTTTCTAATCTATTTGGAAACTGGTAAACTACTAATTAAGTGGGATATCGTACAGAAGGACGAAATAACCACTCGCTGACTTATAGATCTAAACTACTACAAATCTTCTAGTTCGTATGTGAGATTATAACTATGACTAGCGGCTTGTGTTATCGGCGGCCTTACCTATTCTGATGACAGGTTATTTGGAATCTTATTCTGTAAAAACTCATGAGCGAATTTCTTTTAAAGAAATTAATACGTAAAACTGCACTTCAGCTGGATTATTTGACAGTTTTGAGGAATTACCAGGTTCAGCTACTGCCTTCAACTCGTGAGTATGTTCTAGTCACCAGGTTAGGGTGAAATCCTAAGTTATCGGTTTACGTGTATCATTAAACTCGCTATTCATCGAAGTATTTTAAGGAGTTGTAGGGAAGAGAAACCAATTTTTTTAATTTATATCCTTGTTTATTTTGATATCCTTTAATATTTTCTCACTTGAACCATTATGAATATATTTCTGTGTAACGTAGATGTTGCAAAAAAGCTAAACAAACCTGTCTTCATTTAAATTTCAAAGAGAAAGAATATTTATAAGTTAAACATATGTAAACAGGAGAAGATTGCTTACTCTAGGACAATAACCAAAATCCCCTTGCTGCCATTTTGCCACCATAAAACAAATACCACGATTTGTCAGAATGTATCTAGAATGTATTAGTCCATAAAGCATTTCAGCCGCTTGTTCAATGAGATCGGTATTTTCTGGATTATCAGAAGGGTCTACAAATATGAAAAAAAGCCTCATATTCACTGACTGACCTACAAGAACAAACGTATTTAGCATAAACCTAGCAGACAAGTTAAATCCCTGATAAATCAAAGAAAATATTTGACTCAGTGGTTCACTCTCTACAAAATACGGAGATTAGTACGCATGCGTGTAGAAATCAACAAGCAGTTTCAACAGTTTATTTGATACCAATTATGAAACAATATATCAACAATTATAAACTGCCCTTGCTTAACTCACCTACTTAGTTAATAGTGAGTGTTTTAAAGTACAGTAGAACATGGAATTGTGAGAAAAACATTGCTATTTCATATGATGAACAATGGGTTCAGTATCCCAAAGATCTAGGTTTCACACTATGCTAATTGTTAGCTTCTACTGAAACGGCAATCTATAAATAGTTTCGTTTCTCCACAAATGCTTCATTTTAGAAGTACTTCTAGGAAAATAAAACCGCCGAAAAGACTCACAATCATTCGCTATGGCGCAGGCTCACTCACTATATATCTTTAGATTTTAAGTTCTAGTGTTCTATTAAAATAATTTCCCTGTTCTTTCAAACCATATGAATTTTAAATGTTTAGTTTTTCTCATTCTCATTACTAATACATTATTTCGGCTTTTCTGCTACTCATTTGGTTAGTTTCATCTCATAGTGCTGTAGTATAACCTTATTTTATTTATTTTTATTTATTTAAACACATAAATATTGGTACAATGAAGCACCAGATAAATATGCGCCTCACAAATCTCATTCGATTTGTGTGAGGGCTGTGATACTGCCCAGGTGCTCAGACTGAAGCAGGGTAGTATAACCTAAACCAACGTACATCTGTACCAGGCTTTACGTTGATGATATGTGTTTGCTTTTTGAAACATCCGTTGTTTTATCCAGACACTCTAAATGGGAAATTACTTGAAAGAAAATCAATCAGTGACTAGCAAAATTTTTGTAGGCGTGTAACTGACACCAGGGTTTAAATAAGTTTTTTAATGATTATGAAGACAATCTTGGAAACTCATTGTCAATAAATGTTTACAGTAGGACACCAGATTGATGAGTGAAGCGTTTATCTACATCTACATACCACTTGTTAGCAAGGTGATTCTAACAAATAGGTATGTTAACAACGACTTCCTAACCTTTTGAGAAATTAAAAAAGCTGTGATAAAGTTGAAACACAGAAATGCAGCAACACATGATAAACTATCCCAAAAGACAGTTTTCAATCACTACTATTGAGACACGGAAAAACAACTAGATTTAATGACATGCAACACACTGGCACTTAGTACCGACTTTTCGCATCAAAAAAAACAGTATGCAACAAACAGTAATCTTGCGAAACAAAGAAAATTAAAAATGTCTCACCAGTTTCCAAATCAAGTATCATGTCGAGAGCATCACGGTATTCAGGAACTTGCTCTGATAAACCGGTAAGGTTGAATCGGTCCTGGATGTAGTCCTCCTCAACTTCACAAAAGAATTCATTTCCACGTAGGCCGCAAAACCATGATATCCAAGATATTTCATCACTGCTACTCATGTTTTATGTAGAACAATTCTCCAAAAGTTAGGTTTACTATGGTATTCAATCGAATTTTTTTAACCACTTCAGATTGAATAATAAGCTAGCTAACCAACAACGATCCGGATAAAAATTTCAAATAAGAATATGACATGATAGATTAACTCATCAGGTATATAATTGAATTCTAATGAAACTATGCAAGATAGTGAGTTATCACCTGAGAAGGCAGAAGTTTAAGACCTCACACTTTCTGAACTATGTAAACAAATAATAATGAAAGGTCTTTTTAAACCACTTTGCTAGACAATGTAAGGTCAGGACGAGTAATCAATTCAGAATTATAAGAGGGTTGGAATCAACTTTATATTAGAGATTTGTGAGGCGCATATTTATCTGGTGCTTCATTGTACCAACATTTATGTGTTTAAATAAATAAATAAATAAATTATATCAGAGCGGATAACAATGAAAAGTGTAGGTTCATCGATCTGCGATATGATGCGGGACACGTATGGTTTGAAAGACCGACAACTAGAAGGGTTAGTGATAAAAACTTGTCTTCATTTTTGTCAGTTATCCTCCCTTCATTTTAAAGGGATATAAACACTTGGGAAAGTATTTAAAGATAGACTATGGGACGAGTTTGTGATCTTAAATTTACGTATGTGAAATCCGAATGCCTGAAACTAAAGTTCTTGCCGAATGAGCTGCCGTGTCTAGTAGGATTGGGGCATTGATGCATCTAAGTAGGAATCTAAATGTTTAAAGTTGGAATATGAAATACTTTAAAAAGTCAGCGAGATGATACCAAATCTTCAATAGAACAGTTTCCTTTCAAAGACTTCTATGGCACTGCTTGGAGCAATATAAACAATTAGGTTCGACAGCGCTTAAGAGGTGGATAATATATCTTCAAACAGTTGTGTTGCATATCGAACTTGCGAGTACTCTAACTAAGGTTACGGAAAACAATGAATTTGGGTATTTTAGAGGAGGACTGTGTTTATGAGGTAAGTGGTCATTACGAGATCGCTTTTGAGTTACATATATATTAACAGGTTCATTGAAGAAACACGGATTCTACACCCCCGAAGTAAGGTCTGATGAACTTACTAGAAATATGTTTTGACAAGCATATGGAGGGAAACATAACGAGTGTTTTATCGAAGTGTACTTTCGGAGTGTATAATCCTTCACACAACATTGTAAGGGAGTTTTTCCACCACGACTAAAGTTTGATAGAAAATCGAAACATCTGCCTGAAGTTAGAGGAACAGGTCGCAGTAAGGCACAATTCCTTCAAACATACGCTACATTTTGTAAAAAAAATTTCCCCCAACTTACAAAGATAGTAATAAAACAGGTGGTATCTGTAAAAAGACATCAGGCAATTTATTGTGTTGTGGACATGCGATTTCTATCAAAAATACTACAAACTAGACAAGTGACCAGTCAACTAACCGTACGTGCTCAAAGCCCAACCGCGACTTCGAGGGAAACTTAAAGCACGCTCCCTTGTTCAATCGGTTTTTCAAGAAATAAAAAAAGCGATTGCCTTATGAGCTTCGGTATTTAGTGACAGTGAATCATCGATGCCTCTAAATAAGCACCCAGGTACATCCAACGATAGAAAATGAAAAATATTGGTAAATTATGGTGAGTTACTGTCTTCAGTCCTTAAAATTACATCGTTTTCTCTTTAAAGAATTATGGAAAATCACTGAGAACATCTCATAAAGAGTAAAATGTGTGCTCTTAGCCCATTCTACTGTATTTCGTTCGTAATTTCTGAGTGTTCAACGAAATATTTGTTTTGGGAGTAAGCTTAAATAGGTAAAGGGATTCCCCGGGAGTGTATTGGATGGCATTGGTCTTTAGAAGCTCACCTCTAAGGTTCTTATGCTCTAATTTGTAAAGATTCAGTTATTTCTCCAACGATTTGCTAACTTCACATATTCCAATCAGCATAGATCTTCAATGAGGCTGAAGACCTGAATTCAGTAAAGTTGTAACCTCCTTCATCAAGGTGGAATTTAGGAAGAATGAAGTCTCTTCGAATCAGGATATGAATGTATCCAAAACGAGTACCTCGGGATAATCCCTCCAGTATACGATTGTCGTACTCGATGTCAGAAGTGGGCTTCTTGTATATGATTCTGACCGAACATTTCGAGGTGTTAGACAATCTCACTAGGAACCAAAGGGATTCATCAAAGTTAATAAACGCCTAAGTGTACACTTAATGTACTACTAAGCAAGAAAATGGAAATACCAATGAATGGAATAATAGGGCTTGAGAAGCACAAATACATTGACAGACGATTCAGTCATCTAGTGATTGAGGCCGCTTATATGTGTGTGGACTGTAACGTGTGACCAAGCAAACATTCACATACGAACATGACACTAATAATACAAAAGTCTAAACAAATTGACACTGAACGTATGACTCTATCTGTAAAATAAGTACAATGAATGTCTTTAAAAAATTAGCGTATACTGATTCATGTGTAGGTGAGATGCCGTAGACTAAGCATGTCTAGTAATATGGAAAGATATCTTCTGATTTACTGTCCAGCCTGACGCATGTCTCGCATCACATGTCCCTACTAATATTCTTATATATATTACTACCATTCTTATTTTATTACTGTTAGCGTCATTGTACTCGTTTTCCTACTGATACCTATTCGTCTTTTTGCTTTATTTGTATATGATGTTAGGATTACTGATCTTTTTGCATCTCTTGACCTCTGTTCTCACTCCATGCTTCTGGATTTAAAGTTTATGATCTTCATGCAGTAACAAACTGTTTTGACTTTATAAAAGGCCGTCGCTAATTTGTTATGACTTTATAAAAAATAGAATAGTATGCTAATTCGTTATCAATTTTATATCCAACTTTTTATCACGTGGTTTATTCACCAATCGAAATAGGACTCTTTCAATCTTAACACTGTGCCAATCAATGACGTTCAACTGGTATGAGCAGTCTAACGTCCTTATTGGTCCCTTGTCCACCTAGCCCTTCCACATGAGTCGAGAACAACAATAACAGCTTCAGCTTTGCGAATCTATGCGAATCTTTTACTTCAAGCATACTCGGTTTATATACCAGACAGACAGACCGCATCAACCATAAAATAGAAAATAATGTTTGTACGGGATCAGGCCAAATGTGGCTGTGAACGTGAGATACAATAATCAATAAACTGAGTATAATTTAGGAACAGGAATTCTCATTATAATAATCCATAGTTCAAAATGAAGCATATAATAAGATGAATATAGATCTACACCATCTAGTTACTCATTAGTTAAACAATAAGAATATATATGGGATAATCGTCCATTAATAGGTCTCGGAAATTACCCGTACTTATATCTCCGTTAGGACATAATACTGACCTGTCATAGGACAGAGTTATTTACATTGATTGATCACTGGGTAGTGGCCACATCGCAAGTCGATTGACAGAACTTGAGCGGACAATAGTCACTAACTAGTGATCGATCAAATGCGAACTGTTGCTCTTTTCCTATCTTATATTTTTGATGATTTATAACTTATACAATGATCAATAAACTGAGTATAATTTAGGAACAGGAATTCGTATTATAATAATCCATAGTTCAAAATGAAGCTTATAATAATTGAATATAAATATATATAATCTAGTTACTCAATAGTTAAGCAATAAGAATATATATAGAATAATCTTCCATTAGTAGGTCCCGGAAATTACCCATACTTATGTCTTCGCTGGAATATAACACAAGCCTTCGTCAGTCAGGCGACGTAGCAGCTGTTTGTTTCAGTAACCCTGATCCGATGCGGCAAATGGATTAGTATGAACTCAACGTACGTCAATCCAAATGTGTCAATTGACTTGACTAACTTTATGAGATGCTACCTAAAACCCTGGACCGTACTGTGGTGTAAGCTACTTAAATCAACAAGGATAGGTAGCATATGACACCAGTCTAAAATAGAAAACATCGCACCAGAAAGCTAAGAAGATCAAGTTGAAGAGAATAGAAGGGAAAATGGAAAGGAATTGTAAACTTGAAGAATCATATAGAATGTGAAGTACAAATGATGGAAATTTAAGAACGAATTATTTAGTACATAGCCCTTGTATTTTACTAAGGTAATCTGTGGTTTTGTAGTAAAGTAAATTGGTTTCCTACAACTAAGTGTCTGTAACTGTTGGTATATATTAATGTTCGAGTACCATGAACTTTTTTACCCATACATTTCTTATTTTACCCCCATTGTATGTCATTCTGCACCATTTCGAACGTCCATTACTTCGCAATAAAAAAAATACTTGACCGTTATCGTCTTCTGATTTTTCGAAATCGATTTGAACTTCATATAGGGTGAAGCTGTTTTATAGTACAACACGATTAAGTTAACACAAAAATCTGCACGAACGTTTAGCAGTTCAAATTACCAAACCCCGAAACTCTTTGCCATAGTCAACAGCAACGGCACCTCTACCGGAGTTTAGGTAAAGTGAATCTATAACATTCATAGCATATGTAGTCAACTTTACCTTGACCTATTTTAATAAAAGGTCATATTTTCCTGGATCCATTTCAGTGGCTCGCCATGTTTTGGTTGTTTCCTTCTACCTGCATTCTGTCATGAAATAGACAAGATAATTAGAGTAAAATGTGAACCACCGATTACATACATACAGTAAGAGGACCTTAGAGTTGGAGCCATAAAGATACCTCTCTTTAACTATTTCTGGAAAGCTGTGTGATGCCGACACTCGAGATCGAATTTATGTCAAAAGAGGAGAGGGTGGAGAGGCAGGTATCTCTTACTGAAAGAATAATCCACTGGCGAAACGGCGAAGAAAACCTCAATGGGATGCGATTTTAGATGGTCTGACTTTGTGGTGTAGGGTCGGTGAAATGTCACTAAATATCAAGCAGGTCATCGATCCCTGTCAAGGCCAAGGATAGTCAACGCGCACCAGTGAATTATACGCCATGGACTGGCCCACGCGACAGTGGTTGTTCTTTCACTTCTGTACTTTCGTGGTTGTACCTTAACTAATATATTCTTGTAATAACGTCCTTTGTGTTGTACAGTCTCCAAAGCGTGCATGATCCTTTGATGCGTCGATGGTTCAATCCACGTAAGGGCTGGTCGCGAGGTGTGACTTCAGCGTTATTTGGTTCGTCACCATTCTCGTCTAACTGTAGTACGCCCCCAATCATTTCGACATAGACCATCAACGTTGATGTCTTACAGTGGGAAGATCGCTTGTGTTTTGTGTTTTCAATCATCATGATTCGACTTATCTATGTTTATATTAATTATCAGAGGGGGTTTTGTGGAGATTTAGTATTTTTCATAGTTTTTTAAAGCATGAGTCAATTGAAGCTAGACCACCATGGAAAACCTGGAAACACTGGACGGCCGTTTCGTCCTATTATGGGACTCCTCAACCCGCTCGCGCGAGATTCGAACCCAGGACCTACCAGTTTCGAGCCGAAGCCCTTAATCGATAGACCACTGAGCTGGCACCCAACGGTGTTAATGTCTAACTTCAACTGATCCACGAAGTTGACCAACAATTCACCAATAACTAGGAGCTCTAATGAGAAGCAGTGACCAGTGGAGTTCAAAACCACGTCTGTTGTGAGATAGGAACTCACTGAAGACAATTGGTGAATGATTGCTCAACTTCGTGGATCAGTTGAAGTTATCTATGTTTCCTAACCAAAAGAACTGATATGCTATAATTGACATATAATTGACACAAATCCTCAATCCACGTGATCTTAAGCTTGAGTCACAATGCTCTGTTTAGCAGCTGGCCCTACCTAGCAGTCAGGCGGTCGTTTTGTAAAGATCTTTGAAAAACATTTTTAAGATCACTAATAGAACAGTACGTTTGATATGAAAATGAAATAATTATGATGACTACGCCCGTATGACTGAGTCAATGCAGTTTGGGTGGAGGTCCCACTTAAATTTCTATTGACTTTACTATTCTTCACAAAGTATTCAACATCCAACGTAGATCTTTCAAATTGGTTTATGTTTTGCTTCAAAGATCGAACGGTTTGAAGCTGATGTCGTCTCACTATTACTACAGGTTATCCTGTTTACAAGAGTATTTCACAGGACTAAGCGTTCGCTCTTAGACTACTGAAGAAAATGAAGGAGCATAAAAACTTTATGAACAAGCAAAAGCTTTATGGTATGGAATCCAACAACATCTCACATGATGACCAACATCTTTTCATGGGGAGGGTGATCAAGGTTTGAACAATCTGTATGTGGTCCAAACTTGAAAACTGGGTTGAGGTCTCTAGCCACTGTATAAAAGGCAACATGGATATTTATGAAAAATTATAGATTTAAGAGACCCTCAAGTTTTCAGGACGTCCAAATCTTTAATTCACGACGTTGCTTCAAAGTAAGACTGTATTTACTCTATAGTTCTCAGACAATTCAGTAGTATACAGGTTTTTCACAAAGAACAACCCTCTTTCGGAAATTACAACAGGAGCCAGTGAGTGCTGTGTCTTTAGCTTACTCATTCAAAAAAACGTGGAAAATATCTGAAGCCTTCTGTGATCAGTCAACACAGTCCGTCAGTTTAATGTCATGAAAGCACTAATGAAAATCAGAAAAATCGAGCTTTATTGGATATCGAATAACCTTGAACCGCAGGTGGCTCTTTCAGTCTGTAGGTCACTCATGTTGTAGATTTATTGTAAGCAGTCTACTTCAGAGTTGATTCTGATTGCGTAAATAATTTATTGTTGAGCATACCACTTGCATGTTCACACTGTATAGCTTTGAACTTATTTCACTTTTATCCGGGTATCTCAGTGTTACGAATAGATAATCTTAATTCCCAATCTCCCTATTTTGCTGAAAATTTTGTCCGGTTTGGGTAAACGTTGGGAAAACCGCCAAAATAACTCTGGGGGATTTGCAGAGAAATTATACAGAACTTCGAAAATTTCTTCAGGTTTGGTTAGAACTACCATATTTCTTACGACTTTTGGGTAAAACCCCAAGATTTACCCAAAGTCCCTCAGAATTTTCCCAATATGTTGAGATCGGGTTAATTTGTTTCCTTATTTAATCCTGTCGAAAGTCAACTGCTGTCCTTTTCGCTGATCTTGAATAGTTCTGTGACAATATAATTGACACTGAAGTTTATATATAAGTTGACGTTTGTTGTGCATCAATATCCATTGTTTTTCTCTGGTTCTGAAGTTAAAATCTCAGCCTTTTGAATCACTTTCTGAAGACCCTTTGACGTGAAGCTAAAATGTTGCACATCACATTATTGTTGTTACTTTTAACCGTTCCTATTCTTTATCAACCTTCGGCAGCTTAACCTTCGAGGCTTTATTCGCGGCCCTACGAGACACAACTTTAGGAGGCATCACATAGTAGACGAACGCTTACCTACCTAAATAGACAAATAATTGTCCACTTTCAGGCGTAATTCCATTGAAGGCCTTAGTTTCATGATAGCATTCCTGTGTAAACTAATTTTTATATCTTGTTCCTGAAGTAGTATAGCTATAATGATATACTACACTAGTCTGCTGTGCTGAGGCGTTCAATGTCAGTATATCAAACTCATTAACTTGCTAATTAAAATTTTGTTTCAAAGTATGATTGTAGTGGTTCCGTACACACTAACAAGTTAATCTCAACTTTGGTCGTGAAATCGCGGAAAAAAGTTGATCTTCATTCAGAGCAGTTTACTGGTATAGTTCTTAAAACATATCAGTTCATGCTTAGGTCCCAGTTTCGGTCTTCCTCAAAAGATGTACATTTAGGAATATTATCGATTACTAAGCTCTTAAACTAAAAATACGGCAGTTTCATTTTATAAATAATGATCAAGTAGTTCCGCATTAGTTTCCAACGTTGGATTAAATGGAACAAGCGAAGTTATCAGTTTAGGACATTCCCTCATGATATAAAAAATATAAGGAACCGGGATTTTTTAATCAGTGATGACTTCCTAATTGGGGTCCCTAAGACCGTAGAAGTCGGTAGCTTGGAACGTTATTAGAAATAAATAAAAGCCATTAATTTATTTGTAGATAAAAATAATACCTTAGAAACGGTTTTTACCATTATACAAAAATAATGTTCATGAGAAGTGATACCAATCTAATATTTATCACAGCCAACACATCATATAATTGTATGAGATTTCGGTTTAACATAAAGTGATACATTTCAGGAATAGTGGATCTTCGTAAAATATTCTCATCCAATGTCTACGTACAATTCTTTTTTTTTCACTCATCATAGCGTTAATGTGTTCTGATTGATATTTTGCTTTCCATATTTTCGAATTAGTGGAATATTTGTCATTAAATATAAAGGACAACTAATATTTTCTCACTAACTGTGTTCAGTTGCTAATTACATACTATTAATAATGACCTGAAATTAACGAAAATTTTTGTAACTTATAGGTTTCCATACAGGGTTATTTTATATTCACTTTAACATTTGCTACCTCATCTTAACTAATCAGTTTTTTTTTATTACTTCATTACTTCTTTTTAGCAGAAGACCTATAGAACCTATTGGATATCTTTGTATTAGCTCCATCGCAAAAATATGCCTATCGAGTTCAGTGATTTAGAACATGCAGGATAATCAAAGTCTTCGTATACCTTATTATCGTCTACATCCTGGACGTAACAGATTTTGTTGCCATGGCAGAGGGGTCTTTTCTCGGGATATGTGTATATTCACTATTACCCTTCTTTTAATTATATCAGTTACAATTCTTTTCTTTGCTTTTGATTGCCGTCTTTTAACCCCAATCTTAACTCCCGCTGTTCCTATTTTAGCAGCGATCCAGTTTCTATATGTTGTTACTGCATTTCTTCGTACAGCATTCACAGATCCAGGAATTATACCACGGGCTACACGTCCTGAAATAGAATGGACTGAACTGTCAATTGGTAAGCTTACTAGTCTAATTTATGTTCCTTTAATGGTCTAAATATAAAAACTTATTAATCTTAACTCAAACTTAGTTTAAATCTTTCCTAATTTTATCATAAGTATCGTTTCTGTAAGATATTTAACATTATTAAGGCCTTAAATTTGGAATAAATAGTTTGACTTGAGGAAAATCTTTTTTTTTGCGCAAAAATTTCATCAATCACATTCAAGTGAAGACATTGTTTGCTTCCTTATGGCATATAATAATACACTTCACAATCCTTTTGTTTTCAAGTTCTAACACACTGTAACGCTAGAGCTAAAAGTTTCCGAAACTCTAAATGATTACATTTTTATCAGTAATCTGCTTTAACTCAGAGCATCCATTTTCACATTTTTAATTTAGCGTGTACACCTTCCCTGTTGCATGTTATTTACTGTAGTCAACCTTATTCTTCTTCATTCATACTAAGACTGTTTACCAGCAAATGAATATTGTGTTATGTTGTGCAGTCCGAACTCCGCCTGTAGCTCCTCCAGGGGCTACTGCCGGTCCCAAGCCCGGGTAAAGGAGGAGGGTTGGGCATGGGGTTAGCGACCCCATCCCGTAGAAAATCAACTCGCTAAAAAAACGCTAACCAGAAAAATTCATTCAAACCATTCAAACTCTGCCCTGGGAGTAGAAGGAAAAATGACGTCTCATGATGAAAGCCGAGTTCCTTCGGAAGTCATGAGGCCGATGCACCTTCTTACAACCAGAGCGACAATTTTTATAGGTACATGGAATGTCCGGACAATGTGGGAGACCGGCAGAGTCTTCCAAATTTCTGCGGAAATGAGGAAATACAACCTGGAAGTGCTTGGAATCAGTGAAACACATTGGACGCAGATTGGACAACAACGACTGTCTTCAGGGGAACTTCTGTTATACTCCGGTCATGAAGAAGAAAATGCCCCACATACACAAGGAGTGGCACTGATGCTGTCTAGAAAAGCACAAAATGCACTTATAGGATGGGAATCTCATGGACCGAGGATCATCAAAGCCTCCTTCAGAACAAAGAGAGAGGGCATTACAATGAACATCATCCAATGCTATGCGCCGACCAACGACTACGATGAAGACGCTAAAAACCAATTCTACGATAGGCTGCAGTCAATCTTCGAGAAGTGCCCAACCAAGGACCTGACCATTCTAATGGGAGATTTCAATGCCAAGGTTGGAAAGGACAACACTGGATACGAAGACGTCATGGGACAATATGGACTGGGAGGAAAGAACGAAAACGGTGAGAGATTTGCAAACCTATGTGCCTTCAATAAACTGGTCATAGGTGGCACCATATTCCCACACAAAAACATACACAAAGCCACTTGGATTTCACCGGATCACACTACACAAAATCAAATCGACCATGTCTGCATCAACAAAAAGTTCAGGAGGACGATGGAGGATGTGAGAACCAGGAGAGGAGCTGATATAGCATCCGATCACCATTTGCTGGTCGCCAAGATGAAACTAAAACTCAAGAAGCACTGGACAATGGCGCGGACAACATCACAAAAGTTTAACACGGCCTTTCTTCGAGATGCTGACAAACTCAACGAATTTAACATAGCCCTCAGCAACAGGTTCTAGGCCTTTCATAACCTACTCAATGAAGAGGGAACCACCATGGAGAGAAACTGGAAAGGTATCAAGGAGGCAATCGTTTCAACATGTCAGGAGGTTCTGGGCCAAAAGAAGCACCATCACAAGGAATGGATCACTGTTGGTACACTGGATAAAATTGAAGCAAGGAGGAACAAGAAGGTAGCAATCAATATCAGCCGAACAAGAGCAGAAAGAGCCAAGGCACAAGCCGAATACACAGAGGCGAACAAGCAAGTGAAGAGGAGCATCAGGACCGACCGACGTAAATATGTGGAAGATTTAGCGATGACAGCGGAAAAGGCTGCAAGAGAGGGAAACATGAGACAACTGTATGATACAACAAAGAAACTTGCTGGAAATTACCGTCAACCAGAAAGACCAGTGAAAAACAAGGAAGGCAAAGTAATCAACGATATTGAAGAACAACGAAACAGGTGGGTAGAACACTTCAAAGAACTCTTGAATCGACCAGCTCCACTGAACCCACCCAACATCGAAGCAGCACCCACAGACCTCCCAATCGATATTGGCCCACCAACAATTGAAGAGATCAGCATGGCCATTAGACAAATCAAGAGTGGCAAAGTAGCGGGACCAGACAACATCCCGGCAGAGGCACTGAAAGCAAATGTAACAGCAACTGCCAAGATACTCCACATCCTCTTCAGTAAGATTTGGGACGAAGAACATGTACCAACAGACTGGAAAGAAGGACTTCTCATCAAGATACCAAAGAAAGGCGATCTGAGCAAGTGCGACAACTACAGAGGCATCACTCTCCTCTCAATACCAGGAAAAGTCTTCAACAGAGTATTGTTAAACAGGATGAAGGATTCCGTGGACGCCCAACTTCGAGATCAACAAGCTGGATTTCGTAAGGATAGATCGTGCACAGATCAAATCGCAACTCTACGTATCATTGTGGAACAATCAATCGAATGGAATTCATCACTGTACATCAACTTCATCGACTACGAGAAGGCATTTGATAGCGTGGACAGGACGACACTGTGGAAGCTTCTTCGACACTACGGTGTGCCTGAGAAGATAGTAAATATCATACGGAACTCCTATGATGGACTAAACTGCCAAATCGTCCACGTAGGACAACTCACCGACTCGTTCGAGGTAAAGACCGGTGTTAGGCAAGGTTGCTTACTCTCACCGTTTCTCTTTCTCCTGGTGATCGACTGGATTATGAAGACGTCAACATCTGGAGGAATGCACGGGATACAGTGGACAGGCAGGATGCAGCTTGACGATTTAGACTTCGCGGATGATCTGGCTCTTCTATCACAAACGCAACAACAAATGCAGGAGAAAACGACCAGTGTAGCAGCAGCCTCAGCAGCAGTAGGTCTCAATATAAACAAAGGGAAAAGCAAGACTCTCCGATACAATACAATATGCACCAATCAAATTACACTTGACGGAGAAGCTTTGGAGGATGTGGAAATCTTTACATATCTGGGCAGCATCATTGATGAACACGGTGGATCAGATGCAGATGTGAGGGCGCGGATCGGCAAAGCAAGAGCAGCATACCTACAGCTGAAAAACATCTGGAGCTCAAAACAATTGTCAACCAACACCAAGGTTAGAATTTTCAATACAAATGTCAAGACAGTTCTTCTGTATGGGGCAGAGACGTGGAGAACTACGAAAGCCATTATCCAGAAGATACAAGTGTTTATTAACAGTTGTCTACGCAAGATACTTCGGATCCGATGGCCAGACACTATCAGCAACAAGTTACTGTGGGAGAGAACAAACCAGATTCCAGCGGAGGAAGAAATCAGGAAGAAGCGCTGGAAGTGGATTGGGCACACTTTGAGGAAATCACCCAATTGTGTCACAAGACAAGCCCTCACATGGAATCCTGAAGGTCGAAGGAGAAGAGGAAGACCAAAGAACACATTACGCCGAGAAATAGAGACAGACATGAGAAGAATGAACAAGAACTGGAAAGAACTAGAAAAGAAGGCCCAGGACAGAGTGGGTTGGAGAAAGCTGGTCGGCGGCCTATGCTCCATCGGGAGTAACAGGCGTAAGTAAGTAAGTAAGTAAGTTGTGCAGTCCGAATTTGTTAATAATATACAAACTTCACGTATGGAAGCCCAATCTGCCACTTGATTGAGAAGACCAACAGTTAGCAGGAGGTTTTTATAGTTTGACTAAATTAAAAATATACTCACAAAGTATTTATAAACACATCTGTCAAGATATGAAGCCGAGTTTTTAACAACTGGCGTATTTCTGATTCCTCAGAAAGTTAAACCGAATTTCGACTATTAGTGTGTTTCCGTCAAAATCCCCACTTATCTTTTAGTCTACATTTTATTTGCCTGGCGTATCACATGTCATTTTACTATCCCACAAATATTCACATTTGATTCGCTAACTCTTCTAAGCTAGATGAACTTATTTTCTATTTCTTTATCACGACATAAAATTTTCTAAAATATAATCATGGGTTCCTATATTCTAGCATCGTTAAATAATAATTGTCATTCATAATTTAATGTCGTAAACATAAGTCATTGATCAGTTTAAAATAAAGTAAGCTGGTTATTGAGATAGCAAGGTTGTTTGATAAAGTTATCCCTCATCTTATTTTATCCTCTCAAACTCCTCGCAAAATGAGTCAAATAGTCGTAGGATATTTCATCTACATTATTATGCGATCTATGAAACTCGTTGTCGCCGGTCCCTAACTACTAATGTCGGTCGTTTTTATAAACGTTGTGCCGAATAAAAATTTGAATACTATAATTTTTTTAAACTAGGTACTGGTGATTTATCTGTAAATGACTCGAATAACAAAAGTGAACATGATTTAAATGCAGTTCGAACTTATCCACCCGGTGCCAGAACACGTCAAATTTTAATTGGAGATCATCTAGTCAAAATTAATTATTGTCATAGTTGTCGAATTTTCCGTCCACCAAGAGCATCACATTGCTCTTCGTGTGATAATTGTGTTGGTAAGTCACTTTGAAAATTGTTTAATATCACGTTTCTCGTTTTTTGTATTTGTGCGGCGCATATGTATCTGGTGCTTCTTTGTACCAATATTTATGTGTTTAAATAAGTAAATGAAAAGTGTTGGGATAATTTACAGATGAAAAATTCTGTTCGAAGTACGGTACGCTGTTTTAATACTAAGAGAAATTGTAATTTATTGATTTATGCAGTTGATTTGTCAACCAATAGAGAATAATCCACAATCATATCTTCAGATTCAACATGAAAGGTATGATTCTCAGTCTTATACACAAGTCTACCTAGCCGGTACGCCTGATTTCCCTTTTTACTAATTTTGCTTAGTTTTCATAGATCACTCACTTTATGTTACTGATTTGCACAAATAAAGTTTTCTACATGGTTACAATACAGGGTTTGATTATTACGACGTTATTTCATCAGAAAAATTGAGTTTCCACATAGAGAAATATGTTTAAAGATTTTTATTTCTATGCTGTTTTACCGGTTTCTAGCTCACAAGTTCTTTTGGTCATAAGTTGTCATTATTAGTCTGTAATGTGTGTGTACCACTGAAGAAACTCATCATTACCATGTGTGCCATCCAATGAATTTTTCAACCCATAACGTATGGTTTACAAATGATCGATCGAAGCCAAATTTGCGATCTGAAAAGTTACTTTCCAATCAATCTAAATTTTTTTCGTTTGTATTAAAAAAATGATAACCTTTGTAATTCTACCCGGTTCATTAAATTAAAAATCATTCCGTTAAAACTTTTAGCTCACGTTCTAAACATATTATGACTATGTAACCTATATAACTCCATGAATCGATCGATCCAACTGTAGCCAAACGGTGTTAACTAATGCTTCAATTGACTCATGATCTTAACTTTATAAAATTACTAAAATCTCCACAAAACCCCTTCTGATAATGCTAACGTCCGTTGTTACTACTCTACCATGAAGATATTTTGATAGAGTTATTTAAAAAAATGTAGTGATCTTTATCTGGTAAGGTCATTTTAATTCTTATTGTAGCTAAAGGATGGATGCTGTTCTAAAATTGACGTTTAATCAGCTATGTTTGGAGTTGATTTATATAACGTGCAAGGTGGCAACAATTGCTACAAATTATTAAAAGCGGAATGCTTTAGACATATAGTATATTTTATTCCTGCATACATGAGGTTGAACTCTTGATTTTCAGAGAGCTCAACAAACACATCGATTCAATACATTTTTTGACGTAGTGGTCAAATTTATGATAAAACTTTGTGATAAAACTTGATTGTAAGCGATATATACAACCGTTTAAATTCGAGGAAGTCCAATATAAAAACTTGATACTGATACTAGCTAATTACAAAATATTTCTGGGCGAAACTATATAATATGAAAAAGCTAATCAGATTTAAGATAGCAGATCTTGGATTTGGGCTAGAGATTTATTTACTCATATAGCTAAATACCATTTCGGCATTATAACTGATGTCATTTCGTAATGAAAACACCAAATGTAATTCCTTACCCTAGCGTTCAACTGTAAATCCTAATCCTAGTTTCTTACACTAATATATAACCCTAGTAAATAGGTGGATATCCCAAGGTCACTTTACCATTGCTCATAGATCGTCCATAAATTATAGTTTCACTTATTTTTGTACATCATATTAATCCTTGAAAAGTCAAATGAAGAATGTGTTGTTTCTAAAAGAACATTTATGATGAAATCAATTAAATGTGGGGATATTGGTCATTCCTGACGAGCACCACTTAAGTTTACCAAGCCTAATGACAATTGTTCACAATCTCAAGTTCAACCATAAGTGTTCGCGTATAGATTATTCAACAGGGCTTATGTACTTCTATCAAACATGATTGATAATTAAAAATTTTACTAAAAAACTCGTAAACCTGTTTCTTCGTTACTGAAGTTGAAATTTTGCATGGTCATATTATCTGAACATTTGAATAATTATTGACCATTAACTGTTGTACAAATAGTAAATAAGATTGAATTGTTTTCAAATCAAACACCAATGAAAGAAGTTTTAGGTTTTCGTTACACATGAACTTAGTTTATTTTCTATTCCTATATTTATCTTTTGTCAAAGGACAACAAGTAGTGACGTACAAGAAAGGGTGATCAAAAGCTTTCTTTTCATTTATGTATCTGGATTGGTTTTTCTATTTGTTAATTACACTGAGTTGTTGTGCAAATGATGAAATAATTACTTTGGTGTACTTCGATGTAACGATATATATATATATATATATATATATATATATATATATATATATAATCAAATGTGAAGTACTAGATTCTTCTGATCACAGTTAAAATACTATCTATTTAAACACACTGTATAGATAGTTTGCACTATTTTACCGATGTGTGTGGTTAGTTTCCTCCGATATTGTCTGTCGGAAAGAGCTAGTCGTTTAAACATCTGCAGTAGCTTTTTTTGTGTAATTTATTCTTCTTACTTCTCTCTATTACTTTTTACTATCTATTGTTTAACTGAAATAATACGAGGTCTATAGAAAAACGTTGTGAGTTCTAAAGGTTTTGTCAGCAGTACATCTATTGATTCGTACTGTCATCTAACGATTCGGTAATCAAGGATAATTTATTGTACTAGTCTTTGTACTAGTACTTTGTACTAGTCTTTATTGTATTAGCCCGCCTTGACAAAGTGATTGGAGTTCCCTGTTGTGACAGCCCAATTGAGTTACATTAGGTGTGACACTTGTTTCTGAAGGTTCTACCATGACAGGATTTTCAAATAAAGAGCGATGACACAAAAAAAACAATACACTTAAGGCTTGTACATGAATTCATTCTTTTGTCTGTCGTGAGGCTTGGCAATAGTAAGTTGTTCCCGTCAGATTATTGGCATCTTTGGTTTTGTTAAGTCTCCACAACAAATGAAAAAAGAGATTAAAAAATATCTCCCTTTAAATTAGTACACATCAGTTCGCTCCACGTATCTCTTTTACCAAAATGTAATGTTAATACTTTAAGATCTCATGCAATATATGTATATCTATTGATAGTTGAGTAATGACCAATGTCATGTTCATCCAGTGTGTGGAGATTGTCTATTTTGGTGCACAGTTGTATCGTTGTTTATGTGTATCAGACAAACTGTCTTGTCTTCTAGTGCTGAATAAATTCTAAAGATCGAGTTTTAATATTATCACTAACCTAAGTGACTTGACATTACGTGCACTATGTATTGATGTCGGGTTGTTGGACATAGTTGATAAGAAACAATGAGCGTAAGTTTCATTTTATATGACGTTTGTCAGTAAAGTGTACATGCAATCTTGAAAGGACTAGTGCTCTATGGTCACGCCAGTGCTAATGCTTCACACTGTGAAGCTATCTGGTGTCACTCGGAATTCCACAGGAAGCGCCGGATCCCTGAAGATTTCACATTCACCCACGTAAGAGGAATCCGATGCCAAGTAGGGCTTCCTGTCAACTATTTGCAATCACGTAACATAGTCGTATATATATATAATGATTGGTAGTTTGTTTGAATGAGTGTTGGAGTTTCAAACTAAAAATCTATATAGCAATAATAAATTTTATAATTGCACTTTTTTGCGTTTGTTTTTTGAATCCTTGTAGAACGTTTTGATCATCATTGCCCATGGATTGGAAATTGCGTTGGCCAAAGAAATTATCGTTATTTTGTATTGTTCATATATTCCCTGAGTATCTATTGTCTTTATATTTTAGTGTTTTCTATAGTCAATTTAATTTTATGTAAGTAATTTACATATATACATAATTTTGAGTTTTATTATGATCACAAATGATTTGCTGGAATGAATTAGTTCCTAGATAGTTGTTTTTCCCTAGTGTGGGACTGCTTAGCAGTCGGTGTCTTTGATCTCATCTAGGATCATTTTTTCTCCTCAGTAGAGTTGTTGCTTTATCATTGAAGTACTCAAACGTATGAACAGTTGGTTGTAGACTCAAACTTCCCTACATCTATTTCAATTTAGCTGGTTAACTATTACTTTTCACTAGTCTTTGGAATAATGTAGATTTAGGTCAAGTAATAAAGCTTATATGTACCCTTGGTAAACGGGTTTAACTATCGTATTACATGATACATTATATACTGTCCATTATTGTCGATATATTGGCTTTGTTTTTTGATGAGGAGTTTTAATTTCTTAAATTTAACCACTGCCTTCCCCTTGTTTTGATTAGCTCGTTTGTGTTTTGGAGAAGAGAATCGACTTTCTTCTATTTTAATATGTATTTACTTATCCATTGAAAAAGTTGGGAGGAATTTGTATCTTTTTCACTATAATCTTACTGGAGAATTACTTTCTAAGCTGAGATTTCTCTTTAAAATTTAGATTTTTTTAATTTTTCAATGATGCTTTTATTACAATTGTATTTTTAGTTTGCCAACTATTGGTTGATTGTTTTTAGATTCCAAACGTTATGATTTAATGATTATTAGTTAAATTGGATTCAGGGAATGTATCTGTTTATTTGCTATTTTATTGAGATCATGAACCGATTAGAGTTAGACAACCACTGGGAAGCACTGGGTCTTGGTGTGGGACTCCTCAGTAGGGCAGATGCATGACCGTGTCACCGGTTTTTTAACCTTGTACATCGTTGGATCTCGGCCCAATGGTCTGAAGGTTAGACATGCGCACTCGAAACAAAAGGTCTTCGGTTCGATCCGTGGTAGTGAGATCATGAATGTACACTATCAAGCGGTCCTATGATGGGAAGAAACAGCTGTCTAATGCTTCTAGGTTTCCAATGGTTGTCTAAATTAAATCGTCTTGTGATCCCAATAGAATTTAATAATCTCTACAACCCCCAAATTTATTTTTGTTTGGTTTCTTTAACCGCCATCTATTTACTTCCTTTTTTCTTGCGATAGGTTTGTTTAATTTATTTAATTAGTCTCTTATGGGAATATCTACTTTTGGATTTATTATCTTATATGAGATGAATTTAGATTCTGTTCGTGAATTATTCTTTATGATATTTCTAAAGTTATTTATCTATTTATTTGACTCATTTGTCAGGTACAAATTCATGTACTTAACTTAAAGTCACTCTAACTGTATGAGGATTAGCGATACTATCTGGTTGCCCATACCGAAGTAGGTAGGTAGGGATTAAAACCCACAACTCAGTAACTGCAAATCGAACATCCTAATCACTACTGAGCCACCACTCCATTATGAATTTGTTTGGAGTTGGTTGACGGGAAAATATATGGTCACCCTTACCATTCTTCTGTTGTGTGTATTTACACATAAATTCATCAGTGTTCTCGTAATGATTCAATATTACTGTGCTCTTATATAATTCCAAATAGTCTTGGAGATGTAAGTTATGAAATTGATAACTAATAATTCCTGGCAAATATCTTAGTTTTCGTGACTGGTCAATTTTAGTCAAATCAGTAGTAGTGTGGTGTGGGTTA